GGAGCCGCTCCTTAAGCGCGCCTCGGGGAATACGAACGCCTCCATGTTCTGTGTCCGGTCGAGCAAGCTGGTGTTGCAGCGTGAATACGTTTCTTTGCGAGTTGCACAAACCTCATTAAAAACACAGTCTGAAGTAAACTCATGAAGATGGAAATGTTTAAGCTCGAATTTAGCTCTAAAGCAAAGTACTTGGGAGCACAACGTAACTTTTGTTGCCGACAGCTCAACGATAATTCCCGGCCATTAACACGCGGCCGGTGGCAGGTACCCCCGGAGCCGGGGGAGCTGTGCCGCGCTGGGGAGCAGAGCCCTGCCCGACTTACCGCACTCGCAGCCCCGCTCCAGCCGGGGGCCCTCCGTCGGGGACCGGCCAGGGGCTCAGGAGGCGCAGTGCTTCAGGGTACTACGGAGGTAGCTAGTACTGCAGAAGTTTGCTAGCCATACCTAAAGCTGCAGTGGTGTATCGCCCGCAAAAGAAGGTGTAGCTATTTTTTTCTGATTCATCACGAATTAAGGATTGGTGTAGACTATTTTCTGTTTATTAGGGAATGAGCAACAGTATTCCTCTGTTCTAATGCCTTCCAACTATAAAAGGATACATAATAAAAATTTCTGCCCAGCAAAATTATCTAAGGTTGCAAGATAAATCAAATTGCATGTGTGTGATCTAAAATATTCAAATAAGCTAAGTTGTGTGATTATAAAGGCTTTAGATCACATAGATGCATCCAAAAAAAGAAAGATATACTCAGTATCAGACAGCTCACTATTTGGTTGACACTGAAAACTTACAAAGAGCATGAATTAATGCAACCGGCAGCTCATTCAGATTCCCTTATTTGGGTTGCTATATCACTGCAATGTAACTGACAGGGACCGAGACCAGGCCTCAACCTACGGAAACTAGTAAGGGTGAGGGGTTTTTTTGATTTAGAGAGATGTGATCTCTTTCATCCATTTTATAAATTTGAATTAATGGTCAGAGATTGCCACTAAAGCTTTCTAGAAGCAGGAGGAGCTGTCTGATGAGGATGCCAGAACAGCAGCAGAAGCTGAAAGCATGCTGCTTCATGAACCAGGCTCCTTCCTCAGACATTTTCTGTAGAAGCTGAATTAAAATGCTCCGAATAGCTGTTACAGGTGGACACAAAGGAGGGGATGTCGTCCTCTATGTCAATGACCAGCTGGAGTGCATGGAGCTCTGCCTGGGGATGGCTGAGGAGCTGACTGAGAGCTTATGGGTCAAGATTAAAGGGAGGGCAGGGACAGGTGACATTATACTGGGGATCTGCAACAGGCTGCCCGAGCAGGAAGACTGAGCGGAGGAGGCCTTGTATAGACAGATAGGAGCAGCTTCATGTTCACAAGCCCTGGTCCTCATGGGGGACTTCAACCACCCTGCTATCTGTTTGAGGGACAACACAGCAGAGCACAAGCAATTCAGGAGGTTCCTGGAATGCATTGAAGACAACTTCCTTCTCCAAGTGATAGAGGAGCCAACGAGGAGAGATGCTATGCTGGACCTTGTTCTCACCGACAAGGAGGGGCTGGTGGGGAATGTGAAGCTCAAGGGCAGCCTTGGCTGCAGTGACCATGAAATGGTGGAGTTCAAGATCCTTAGGGTAGCAAGGAGGGTGCACAGTAAGCTTGCTACCCTGGATTTCAGAAGCGCAGACTTTGGCCTCTTCAGGGAACTGCTTGGTAGAATACCACAGGATACAGCCCTGGAGGGAAGAGAGGCCCAAGAAAGCTGGTTAATATTGAAGGATCACCTCCTTCAAGCTCAGGAGCAATGCATCCTGACAGAGTAAGTCAGGCAAAAATGCCAGGAGGCCTGCGGGGATGAACAAGGAGCTCCTGGACAAACTCAACATGAGAAGGAAGTCTACAGAGGGTGGAAGGAAGGACAGGTAGCCTGGGAGGAATACAGAGAAATTGTCTGAGCAGCTGGGGATCAAGTTAGGAAAGCCAAAGCCCTGATAGAATTAAGTCTGGCCAGGGACATCGAGGGCAGGAAGAAAAACTTCTATAGCTATGTCAGTGATAAAAGAAAGACTAGGGAAAATGTGGGCCCTCTCCAGAAGGAAACAGGAGAACTGGTTACCTGGGATATAGAGAAGGCTGAGGTACTCAATGACTTTTTTGCCTCAGTCTTCACACACAAGTTCTCCAGCCACACTGCCCAAGTTGCAGAAGGCAAAGGCAGGGGCTGGCAGAATGAGGAACCTACCACTGTAGGAAAGGATCAGGTTTGAGACCATGTAAAGAACTTGAAGGTGTACAAGTCTGTGGGACCTGATGAGATGCATCCACGGGTCCTGAGGGAACTGGTGGATGAAGTGCCTAAGCCACTGTCCATCATATTTGAGAAGTTGTGGCAGTGAAGCTCCCACTGACTGAAAAAAGGGAAATACAACCCCCATATTTAAAAAGGGAAAAAAAGGAGACTCAGGGAACTCCAGGCCAGTCAGTCTCACCTCTGTGCCTGGCAAGATCATGGATTGGATCCTCCTGGAAACTGTGCTAGGGCACAGGGGAAATAAGGAGGTGATTGGTGACAGCCAACCCATATGGCTTCACTAAGGGCAAGTCATGCCTGAGAAATTTGATGGCCTTCTATGACAGGGTTACAGTGTTGGTGGATAAGGGAAGAGCAACTGACGTCATCTACCTGGACTTGTGCAAAGCATTTGACACTGTCCTGCACGACATCCTTGTCTCTAAATTGGAGAGACATGGATTTGACAGATGGACCACTCGGTGGATAAGGAATTGGCTGGATGGTCACACTCGAAGAGTCACAGTCAGTGGCTCGATGTCTAAGTGGAGATCAGTGATGAGTGGTGTTCCTCAGGGGTCAGTATTGGGACCGGTGCTGTTTAACATCTTTGTTGGCAACACGGACAGTGGGATTGAGTGCACCCTCAGCAAGTTTGAAGACACCAAGCTTCATGGAGCAGTTGACATGATGGAGGGAAGGGAGGCCATCCAGAGGGATTTGGACAGGCTGAAGAGGTGAGCCCGTGCAAACCTCATGAAGTTCAACAAGGCCAAGTGCAAGGTCCTGCACCTGAGTCGGGGCAATCCCAAGCACAGATACAGGCTGGGAGATGAGTGGATCAAGGGCAGCCCTGCAGAGGAGGACTTGAGGGTGCTGGTGGATGAAAGATGGAATATGAGCCAGCAATGTGTGCTCACAGCCCAGAAAGCCAACTGTATCCTTGGCTGCATCAAAAGAAGTGTGGCCAGCAGGTCGAGGGAGGAGATTCTACCCCTCTGCTCTGCTCTGGTGAGACCCAACATGAAGTATTGCATGCAGCTCTGGGGCCCTCAGCATAAGACAGACATGGACCTGCTTGAGTGGGTCCAGAGGAGGGGCATGAAGATGATCAGGGGGCTGGAGCACCTCCCCTGTGATGACAAGCTGAGAGGGTTGGGGTTGTTCAGCTTGGAGAAGAGAAGGCTCTGGGGAGACCTTGTCATGACCTTCCAGTACTTAAAGGGGATCTACAGGAAAGGTGGGGAGGGACTCTTGATCAGGTAGTGTAGTGATAGGATGAGGGATAAGGGTTTCAGACTGAAAGAGGGGAGAGTTAGATTAGATATTAGGAAGAAATTCTTTACTGTGAGGGTGGTGAGGCACTGGAAGAGGTTGCCCAGAGAAGCTGTGGTTGCCCCCTGGAAGTGTTCAAGATCAGGTTGGGTGGAGCCTTGAGCAACCTGGTCTAGTGGGAGATGTCCCTGCCATGGCAGGGGGGGTGGAACTGGATGATCTTTATGTCCCTTCCAACCCAAATCATTCTATGATTCTAAGAAATGTTTGAGAAATATCGACCCTTGCAACTCATACAGGTACAGTGGCACCAGGATAGAGGAAGCAGGACCTCTAAGTGCCAAAATAACTGGTGTGTATCGGTCAGTACACTGTCTCAGCCTTAACACATCACTGATAAAAACCTGAATGTTTGACTATACAGCAATCTGCTTCTGCCTTCTAAAACAAGTCAACAGAATAGGGTGAATTTAAAAAAAAAGTTAAATCTATGGAGGCGCAGGCAGAAGCACATGGCATTTCTGTGTTGCTGGAATTGCGTTATCAGCTAGTTCTCTTATTTCCCGGTTCTGGTTAATTTACAACAACACTGTACAATGTACTGTAATAAACCCAAAAAGCACCTCATGCATCTAAACAAATATGTGGGTTGAAAGAGGATTTTGTCCCTTCTGGTTTGATTCTTAGCTTCACAAAATCTCCAGTCTTTAACGTCCTGAAGAATTACTCTTTCAGCAGAAGCAAAATGAATTATGCGTCAATGAACAATTGGGTTATCAAGGTTGTTCACTTAATGTTCCAGCTGTTCTTTAGCACCATCTTAATGTTTATTGGAGATTTCTTTTGAAATTAGTCTTATTCCATGGTACTTACAAATAAATACATTGTGTTTGTTACAGTTGCTGTGCCAGTTAATAGCAAATGCAAGTACATAATGAATTTCTTGCCTTTTACTGCTAGAACTAGAAATGACAGAGGGTGGAGGCTTAAGTCAAAGGAGATCCATTAATGTAATAATAGTGAAGCCAGAGATTAAAGCTGATAGGATTTGTGGGGAGTTTTGTACAGCACTTAACTACATTAACATTGTTTCTTGCTCCTTGCCCTCATAAGTGCTAAAACTTAGATATACTCAGAGTTCACAGGAAACCCAGCAACTACAGTAGTGGCCACTGATTCTTTGCCCTTTTCCAGCTGTCCTGCATGCAGATGGACATCAGCTTACCCTGGAAGAGATACCAGACTGCAACACCGTAGAGCTGGTGGTCAATGGGGATACTCTAATTTGCTGCAATGTCAAGGACCTGGATTTTGGCAACTACGGAGTTTTATTCATTGCAGTCTCTTGCTGAAAGCTCTTCATTTTGAAAAGAGTGCTTCCTAAGGCATAAACAGCCCAGGTTCTGTCAACATTAACACTTTTAAGCTCTGCACTCCTTTATATTTGAGCCAGTTTTAACGGCACAGTCAGGAAGAGACGATGGTTTGGGAGTTAAGGCCATGCTTGGGAGAGCACACTTTGGGGCCTTCCCACATGCACCAGCACACAACCACAAATAAACCTGCTAGGTTTCAGTCCACAGAGGTATTAAGGCATCCTTTTGCTTTCAAAATAGCAAATATTTGTCTTTGCTTGGGCATTAGTTTCTTCGGGTTTTTTGTCTTCCCCTCCCTCATGAATGTACAAATTCATGTAGAACTGTGACTTGCATGTAGTTCTCATAATTTGATTTAAATTAAATTTCAAATAAAATTGAATTCTTTCAACTTTTTAAAAGTTTCCTATGTCAATAATTTCAAAGTCATTCATGGCTGATGATCAACATATACAGATTCATACAGATATGCTAATTCTGCTCTTCTCTTCTCTTGGCCACAATTGTCTCAGAGATTCACGCATCATTAGACACAGCTCAGAGGTACAGAGAGAAAGAAGTTGGCATAGCCATAAGGACAGGATTAAAGCTGAAGGGGTGTTAGCACAACTGATATTCCAGGTATCTCAAAAGTAATGCTGCTTTTCCTCTCTATCCGCCCCGCCCCCCAATAACTAGAGTATGAAGCTTGTTTTTTGCTCCTGATTTGTCTGTCAAGGTATACTCTCAACCTCAGCTTCTTTTGAAAAACACTTCTGTCCCTGGTAAATTGATCAGTTTGCAAATACTCATATGCCAGAATGCTGGTACCCAGAGCAATTTTCAGTTTGTCTCATAATTAGTTATGAAAGAAGGAAGTGGTTAGTCTTTGCATCCTGATGGAGTGAAGTGAACAAAGAAACACTGCATTTGTTGAGGGTCAGGAGTGCTGGGCAGCAAAGCTGCAGTTTCTAGTGCGGCTGCAGGAGGGAGAGGCTGCCCAGCATAAAACCAAAGACAAAGAAACCTATCACTCAGTATCTTCTATCAGCAGTAATCTGTAGGGAGATGGCTGCAGTTAAAAATATCCAAACCACATTTACAGTGATACTGATCTGACACAAAAGCATTGTCAAAATAACACTATCACTATGTCCAAATACAGTCCCTTTCCAATGACCTGTAGATGACAGAAGCATTAAAACACTATCCTTTAGTGAGAAAAAAATACTCATAGTTAAAGTTGAGTGAAGCAGAAACTGTATTGTCCTTTTAGAAGACCGAAACATTTTTGCTTTCTACAACTCTGATATACCAAGATTAGAAAGTGAGAACATTCAGACGGAACCATATTGAGATCAATACAATTAAGCTTGGCACAGGTAACAAAGGCACTTTCTGCAGCAGACACCCACACAGGCATCAGACTGGGGTTTCAGCATCTGCCCTGCTCCAGTTCTGCCCTGAACAGCAGTGAGTTAGTTCACACCTTGCTGTCACCCTGTAACTACTGAGCTGGCTGTCCTGCTCTACAGCCCAACTCCAGCCTCCTGCTCCAGTGCAGCCCTCAGCACAGGGACGGGCTTTAAAAATACCCATGCTACTGCATTTGTGAGTGAGTCATCAACAAATGGCTTTCTGCTCTGGCAGTAAATTGTTTACTGGCCTCTCAGGTAAGTGCAAATTAATTACACTCAGTTAGTTTAAATAATGTTAGTTCTGGGCAGAATTTACTCCCAAAAACAGAAGACTAAACTCCCCAGACTTCTTGAGCATGGAATGCTGTGAATGTCAATGGAAACCCTCCAGGCAGCTGAACTCACCAGTGTGACTAGTTTTGGTTTTTAAAAAAAGCTTTAGTTTTGCTGTGTTCAGTGCTCTCTGTAACATCACTCGGAGGACATTTCCAACATACCTCCAAATTAGAATGACAGTTTTGTAGGGAGCTATTAAGCCTTGATAGATCAATGGGTTTAGCTGGAATAAATACAAACAAGGAATACAAGACTTCAGGTCTGAAAGAGGAGCTGCAAACTTCAAGACAAGTATGGGTTGAGAACAACTGCCCTGACTTTGCTTTAGAGTAATATTATGACCAAATTGTGGAACACCAGAGACAGATGAGAAAAGATTTTTAATATGGCAGTGAAATATCTTCCAGTGAGATAAAAAAATTAGCTCCATCAGACATTTTGAACACAGCAGTCTAGAATGCATAAAGAGATCTCAGGCCCAGTTATTGTGCTTTTGTTACAGAAGGGAAAAACAAATACAAGTTTGAAGTAGCCCTTTCAGTTTGGTATCCATCCCCCAAACACTACCTGAGATTAGTTGCCATGGCACTAGCAGGCAGCTGGGTATTGAAAGGCACTGTAGTAGCCACTTGGACAAAGGCATTTAATTTTTTTGTATGTGAAATAACCACTTTTTTCCTCAAAGCCTCCCTCATTTTTAAGGGGATTATCTGCCCCACAGATAATCATGGCCATTTGAAAACTGAACCTAGCCTGCAAGTCCTCTCTACAGTGACTTTCATCCAAACTATTGTGATAAAGTCAAATCAGGAGGAAGAAAACAGCAGCAGCAAATTATTCCAGTAGTAACACCAACTAAATTGCTGTGCAGCTTTTATGGTTTGACTAATTGTCTCATTAAGACACATTTCTGATCACTGAAATGGATCTCAAGTATTATTAATCACTGATAAAATTCTACCACTAAGAGCCTCTCTCCCTCCTATCCTTGGCACTATTTGCAATGGAAAACACACAAAGGCTTCCGTTGATTGGAGCCTTGCTGCTGCACAGTTGGCAGTCAAACGGTACTAATGGCACAATAACACAATATAACTAAAATAGTTCGCCTTTTAGAGTAACAATCTCTTGTAACATGATTAAGCTCTATCATGTGCGTTTCCTTATGTTTTGCAAATGGCTCAAAAAATGTGTCAGTTTTTCCAGTAATTTTTTCAAAAGGTGAGGGAAAATAAAAAATCATTAACTATCAAGCAGCAAATTAACCACACTTGATACATTAAAAAAAGATGAAAACAATGCACCAAGCACGGGCTGCACAGCAGCATGGTTGTGTGGCACCCAGTCCACTCCCCCTTGCAGAACACACCTCCAAAGACCGAGTTTGTTGCATTTAATTGCAGACACTTTATTGAAGCAGTCAGTTTAGGAGCTGGCTTGCCCTAGGCTACCTCTGTAACTGATGGAGAGAGGCATCTCCACAGAGCAATTCAGATCTCTAAAAGAGATGAAGCTTTTTCCTCATGTGAGGAGTACATCTCAAAAGGAGCAAGCTGGCATTATCCAACACACGACTGATATGCTCTTTACATTCTCAGCAGACAGGAAGCTGTTGCACTTGGCCATCACTCCCAGTGGTTGCGCAAGCCATACATTGCAACAAAACATTTACCCTCACAAGGGCTGCAAGTGTTTATCCCATACATTATTGTATTAAAGTCAGCAGGCACTGAATTTTCAAGTAGCTTATTCTCAGAAGGCTAATGCAAAAGTGGCACAGCTATTGCTAGCAGAGAGGTACACTTCCATGGCGGCCAGACTGATCAAAAAAAAAATGTAAAGGCCTAGGAGCATTTTTGTGGAGATGGAAGTGGTGCATGGGAAGGAAATCACTCCATACAAATACTCAAGAAGAGTTGGAAAGGTCTGATTTTTTCTCAGAGAGGTTTTGCTCATTTTAAAGTGACTGTACAACGGTAATCATCAACTTCCCATGGGTGCACTTCTGATCATGCACTTGGAAAAACAAAGCAACATACAGCTGTTATCAGCACTGTTCTTGGAAAAGAGTTTAAACTTCATTAGAGGAACAAAGCTGAATTATTTTAATAGCTGTGTGCGTTTTTTTAATAAAAAATATCAATGATAGTATACATAGTTAAATTTTCTTCCTGTTCATTTTGCATATTGGTCGTCCAATAACATGGTATTAAACATGGCAGCACTAAGACCTTCCACACATCATTTTTACATATTAAGAGGAAATCTGTGGCAGATTTGCTTTACAGTCTGTAGAAAATCACTTCTCTATCTCCTTCATCTGAAATGGAGATAACAGCTTTGAGTCACAGAGATCTTGTGTTCCCTAAAACATTTTCCAATTCTCCAGTAAAAAAGTGCCGTACAACTAGTTGTATGGCTCTCCACAATTAGTGCAGGGAAATGCTTTATTCCAGTAACTG